GTCTCCACCCAGGTTCACAGGAGTCTATTGAATGTTGTAGGGCTTAGCTTGCAGCTTCATTGGTGTTTTTTATGGTTGACTTTTAGAGCAGAATAATGTGCAGCCATTTAAACTAACGATTTAGATGTACACTCATTTTCAGGAAAGTTGTTTCTGTTATATTACTAAGCACAGCAAACACGATATAACAAGAGATACCATTTTTGTTTTTAAAAAAGTACACACATGCATAACAAAATCGGGCCACACAGCAACAGTAACACTGGCTAACTTCAGCATATATATGTTGTTTGTTGTTAAGTGCCGTCGAGTCGGTTCCGACCCATAATGACCCTGTACAGGGTTTCTGAGGCTGTAAATCTTTACAGGAGCAGAAAGCCTCATCGTTCTCCCATGGAGTGGCTGGTAGTCTCAAACTGCTGACCTTGTGGTTTGCAGCCCGATTCGCAACCACTGTGCTACCAGAGCTCTATGTACACATTCTAATTTTTCTACAGTAAGAACATGCGAGTCATACATGAAAAGAACTAAGGAAAGAGGGAAAACTCAGACACCTATAATATTTAACTGGTAAATGCCTCCAGGGGATCCCCTCCCCTTTATAGTCCTGAAATCACAATTCCACACCCTCATACCTGACAAGTTGAAGGGCGGCTCCTGGCAGCTGCAGGTGGTAACCACCAGAGCTCACGGGACTAGCCAGTCAGTAGCACTCTGACTCATAAGGCGTTGCCCGTACAGCTGAGGGCTGGGCACCTGGGCACCTACCGAGACACACGATGCCGTCGCCAGCATAGCCCGCCTTGCACACACACAGCCGGTTCCCTGGGGTGGTTCTTTTGCAGTCAGCCTTGGCAGAACAACCTCCGTTGCTGATTGCACAGGCGTTGATGGCTACAGGTCGGAGAGGCGACAGAGCAAAGGAGCGGTGAGAGGGGGAAAACTAAGCACACATGCATGCATCGACAGTCTAGTCACTAAGATTTCCAAGAGTCCTAGAAATCCGAGCTTACTGTGCTCTGGATTCAGAGGGGGGCATAGGTGGGTCAGTGGTGAAATTCTCAATGTTCAGGTTAGAAACCTGGGTTAAATTCTTGGTCAGTGCCCCTACCCATCTGTCAGTGGTGCTGTGAGCTGAACATGTTTCAGCAGAGAATCCAGACCAACATCGACTAGCAAGAAAGGCCTGGTGATTTACCTCTGAAAACCAGCCAGTAGAAAGAAACCCTCTGCCTCCCAGGGGTCATGCGGATGGCAATGTTTCCTTCCATGGTACATGGGGTCGTCATGAGTCGGAGGCTGACTTGACAGCAACCAACAACCCAAGTCTGTGTTGAAGGAGGAAGAACCTCTCTACACCCTGAGGCAATCAAATCAGGATCCCTGGGATGCTCTAGTGGTTTTTAAAGTTCCCCAGGTGGGTGGCACAAATGGTCACGCTCTTGACTACTAGCCACAGGCTGGGAGTTGGAACCCACTCAGAGGTGTCTTGGAAGATGGGCCTGGCATTCTGCTTTTCAAAGGATTCAGCCAATGACAATCTTGTGAAGGAGTACCAGGAGCAGCACATGAGTAGATGGATGCGATGGTGGCACAAGAGGGGATCTAAAGTGCACTCAAGGTGGTGAACCACGGCTTGATGAAAACAGGTGCCATTGTTCTAGCCCTTCCCAAACCCACAAGTCTCATGTGGGAACAGTTGGTTTGTTCCATCCAATTCACCATGGATGGTGGCACCAACTGCCTAGGCCCAGTCAGTCCACAGGAGTCATTGAGTCCTGGAGGACCCCAGCAGGGTTCTCCTCTACTTGCCTGTGCAGACTGTCCCGTTCCCTTGGAAGCCTGCAGCACACTTGCATGATGCGGTGCGGTCGGAATTGAGAAGACAGCTGCAATGAGAATGGGTACATGGCATTTGTAGAAAAATATATAACCCAACATCTCACCACATGACTTACAGTACACCTTCACCCCATCTCCCCAGGCTCCCAGGCCTTGCCCTCAGGAGGCACTCAGAGAGCCTGCTTAAGGTTTGGAAGAGAGCCCACTGCTGGCGCATCCCAACAGGCACCTAAAATTTAATGTGTATGAGGGGGCTTTAAACAGTTAATGGAAAAATGGAATGAAAAGATAATGGAATTTCTACATGAGCCTTTCGAAGCCCTCTTGTATAGATGCTAAAAGGCTGGATCTAGCGAGTTGGTGATGGTCTCATCATAGATATTTTTAGTTTCATTTGTATAAGTTTGCTCTAATGCATTGTAAACAGAATCAGGCAATGCTCCTTCAAGGTTAGGACTTGGAATCCCCAACCTTCTGCATTCTTCCCAAAGGAGGCCTAAAGGGTACCTACTTGGCACTGGTGTGGCATGTCCCATTGCAGTTGTCTTTTGTGATTTCTGAAAAAGAGAACCAGTTGCCATGTCAGCCTGCTTTGGAAAAACCTCACTTGAGAACTATCTTTTAGTACTTTAGGAAAAGATTAAGGAGCTCTGTTAACATAGTGGTTACGAATCAGGCTGCTAACCTCAAGGTCAGCAGTTGGAAACTCCCAGTGGTTCCATGGGAGAAAGATCCGTGGGAGAAAGATGAGACTTTCTGCTCCCGTAAAGATTTACAGCCTTGGAAACCCTGCGCAGGGTTACTATGAGTTGGAACTGACTCCTCGATACTTAACAACAACAACAACAAGGAAAAGATTAACTTGCTCTGAAGTAACTGGTATCCATCAGACAAACTATATAAACAAGCATATAAATCTTTCTTACACTGGCTGCCAGGATGCTCAGAGCCAAATCTGAAGGTCAAATATGGATCCACAGCAGGATAAGTATGAATGAGATGTCCCCTGTGTGCCAGGACTTGGGTGAGGCATTGAGGGGGCAAAGATGAGTCCAGTACAGTATCTTACCTCTTGTACAACTATGGATCCTTAATGATCAGAGGTTGAGGTGCGTCTCTTCCTAGGGTTTGATTTTTTACTTGTACTTATATTGTTATTCCTTATTCTTTTTAATTTTTGGAATTAAGCATCAGCAAGCAAATATGCAATTATAATTAATATTATTATTTGCATGTGCAGGTATAGCTCAATGCTTGATAGCAAGCACATATCTACTTGTTGAATTATTTACTCAATTTCTTGGACAAGTATAGGCTCTTGTTATTGAATATCTGGTTACCAGATATTTCCTGGCAGGGAGGATCTAAGAAGAAATCACTTGAGATGAGGAAATGATGCTTATGTTAATAGCTTTGGGGATTAGCTCTGATCAAGAATAGCAGAAGGGTCTGAGATAGAGACTCAGCTGCCAAAGGGCACCATTTTGTGTCAGAGATAACATTTCCAGGCTCAAGTGGTCAGGAGTGGATGCTTCCTTCATTGAGCTTGGAAATCCCTTTCTCTCCATTTGCTACTAATTAAAAGCCCAATCATCTTTTAGTTCCTCCTTTATGGGACCTACTGTAAATTTTGATGGATTGGTAATGACTACATAGTGTGTTGTGTTGAAAAGGATTTACTGTTCTATCTGGCCTCAGAGAGAAAGAGTACAATGATAGATTAGTGATGTCTGCCATGGGTTTGGGAGTGGAGAGTTAGCTTGCAGGCAAAGGAATTGTCTTCCTTGCTCTAGTCCTGAGATTCTTTGCTCTGCACTCCCATGCTACAGTTTTTCTTGTTTTTTGGTTGTTTAACTGGATACTTATTTCCATTGGCTTTTCTTTTCAGGTCATTGTGTACACTTGTTTCCTTTACTAGACTGGAAGCTCCTTGGACAGAGTGTGCATTGAGGATGGATTGGAAATAAGCCTGGAAAATTGGGTGAGTGAACTGTGTTGGTGAACAGCGTTGTACTCCACCCTACTAAGGATTTTGAACTTTCTCCTGTAGACAATGAAGAACCATAGGAAGTTGTCAAGTCCCAAGGAGGGATTAGGAAACATCTAGGTTCTGGAAAATCTCTGTACCATCAATGTGGAATATAGGCTATGAGACATAAGACTGGAGACCAAAGGTTTGGCCAAGAGGTTACTGGCGAGAGAGGAGAGAGGAACAGAAGGAAGGGATGAATTTGAGAAATGTGAAGGAGGTAGAATTAATTACATATGAAGGTGAAGGGGATGGAGGCATGGAAACTGAGTAGGTTTTGAGAATGGTTGAACAGATAGATGGGTGGTGGGGTCTTTCTTCATAGTAGGGAAATCAGGAAGAGAAATGAGTCTGGTTCTATGTCCTTGACTCTGCTGTCTTCCTTTTCTTGGAGTAAACCTTATATACTTTTGTTTATATATCTCTCTTATATTTATATCTCCAGAGTCTTGATCTCACTCCTGAGCCTTATAGCCACACATTCAACCATCTACTCTGTAGAAACTGGCTAGGTAGCTGTCAGCATCTTCTACCAGACAATACGCTGCTGAGGGTAGGGACTATGTCATCTATGTCTACTGCAGTGTTCTTGAGTGTGGTACCTACCACATAGTAATCAAGTATCTGCGGAATGGGTGGATGGATGAATAGCTCCCACTCATTTCTATCTTGAGGTCCACTGGGACCTCAAACTCAAACTACCCCAAACTGAACTGTCCCCAACAGTCCTCTTCCTAAATTGGTCCTCCATCCATGCAGTTGCTCAAGTCATAATTTGGGTGTCTCTTGGACCCCCTCATCCCTTTTTTTTTCCTACAGAAGCTAATCTTGCTGTTGAGTGTACCTCATTTAGCAACCAAGCTGCCTCCATTTTCACTGCCACAGCCATACCAGCAACTCAGTACAGGCTTTCATTCATTGGCTCTTGAAAACTTGTTGCAACTTCTAGACTGTTTCCTGACCCTTTCACTTCAAGTATGTTTGGTCCCTCCAGGGATTATGTTCTCAAAACTTGTGACAGCCAGGGTCAGGCCATTGTATCCATTCTAGAGATTTCACCCAGGATGCCTTCCTGTTTGTTTGACTCCATTGCTTTCTTCTCCCAGGTTCCCTGACCCTGACTCTGTATTCTAGCATTTGCTACCTGCTCTGGGTTATCTCTTGGAGTTGGAACAATTTAGAATTCCTACTTCAACTTTTCAACCAACTTTTAATTCTACATACTTTTGATTTCAGAATTGAAATGAGAGCTTTGATCAAAGACATTCCTTCTGACAACGCCTATACTCTCATTGGGCTGGTGGACACCTGTGATTCCCTCGATGGTCTTTACACCAGATGAGGTAGCTTCTGCTTCTATAACTGCTTCCTGAGGTATTCTCTCATATCCAAAGTCAGAATGGTTTTTCTGAAATGTGAAGATGATTATATTTCTCCCCCGTTAAAAAAAAATACCCTTTAGTGGCTTCCTGTTGGCTTTAGAAGGTTCCACCACCATAGTCTTTCAGGATCTGACTCGTGCTCACCATTCTAGTCTTTTCTCACTTCCTCTCTGTCCTTACTTGCTCTCATTCAGAAATCCATCGGCTCCCTAAGTGTTTATTTAGAGTATTCACATAGATCTGTGTCATTCTGTGTGCTTCTTTCAGCCTGGCATTCTCGTCCCTCTCATCTCTCTCACTTGGAGCATATTAAGAAACATCAGTGTGCTGGAGACAGGATAAATGGGCCTGCTCAGATCCTGATGGTGGAAAAAATAGATGGTTAGAATCTCTGGAGGACAACTTGGCAATAAATAGCAAAACATTTCCTCAAAGTGCCAACTTCTGACTAGGCAATTTCATCTCTAGAAATTTAGCTAAATCAAGTATTAAGGTAGTTGCACGAATACAGGTCATGGTGGGTGATTGTGTGCTGTTGAGTCAGTTCTGACTCATAGTGACCCAGTATAGGGTTTCTGAGGCTGTAAATATTTATGGGAGCAGAAAGCTTCCATCTTTCTCTCACAGAGCAACTGGTAAATTTGGGCCGCTGACTTTGTGGTTAACAGCCCAGCTCATAATCCACAACACTACGAGGGCTCCTTATTAATACAACTAGCCAAAATAACTGCCAAGTGTTACCATTGTACTCCTGTGTTTGTGTTTGAGTTGCTATATTGTTTTTGGAAATTACATTGAAAGTTGACCAAGAGACCATTGAAAAGACATGAATTATATACGTGTGACCATCACTCAACTGTCAGTTTGTCATACTACAGTGCTGTGTTGCTGTGATGCTGGAAACGATACCGTCGATATTTTAAATGCCAACAGGAACACCCATGGTGAACAGATTTCAGTGGAGCCTACAGACTAAGGTAGACTAGACAGTCAGAAAGGCGAACTACTTCTGAATGTTTAGCCACTGAAAACCTTGTGAGTAGCAGTAGAACATAGTCAGAATTAGCGCTGGAGGCTGAAGCTCTCACAACACGATGGGGAAGAGCACTCTCCTCCAAGAAGAGTTGACTGTGGTGATGGGAATGGAGTAAAGCTTTCAGGACCTTGATTTGCTAATGGGGCACAATGCAAAATGAGGAGAAACACCTGCAAACATTCATTAATGATAAGAACATAGACTATATGCTGTATGAATCTAGGAAAAGAAGAAATTGTCAAAAATGAAATGGAATGCATAAAGATTAATATCCTAGGCATTAGTGAACTAAAATGGACTGATAGCGATTGTTTTGAATCAGTCAGTATTATGGTTTACTATGCAGGGAACAACAAATTCAAGATGAATGGTGTAGTATTCATTGTCAAAACAACATTTCAAGATCTATCTTGAAGTACAATGCTGTCTATGATAGGAAAATATACATATACATACAAGGAAGATAAGTTACTACCATCATTATTCAAATTTATGCACCAACCACTAAAGCCAATGATAATGAAATTGAAGCATTCTATCAATGTCTTTATTCTGAAATTGATCAAACATGTAATCAAGACAGACAATTACTGATAACTGTAATGTGAAGGTTGGAAAATGAAGAAGGCTCAGTAGTTGGAAAATATGGCCTTGGTGATAGAAACGATGCTGAAGATAGCATGATAGAATTTTGCAAGGCTAATAACTTATTTATTGCAAATATCTTTTTAAACAACATAAAAGATGACCATAAACATAGGCCTCACCAGATGGAATGCACAGGAATTAAATTGGTTACATCTGTCGGAAGAGACAGTGGAAAAGCCAAAACAAGGTCAGGGGAACAGACTGTCAACTGAATCAACTGCTCATATGCAAGTACATGAAAGAAGCCGAAGAAAATTATAACAACTTTATGAGAACCAAAATATGAGCTTAAAATATCTAACGTGAATATAGAGACCATCTCAAGAATAGATCTTATGTATTAGACACTAATAGATCTTATGTATTAAAGCAGCCCAATTCATAACCACGATGCTACCAGAGCTCCTTCAGAATACAAAGGATACAAAAAGACAAGAAGAGTTGTGGGACGATATCAAGAACATCATTTAGCGTAAAAGCAAAAGGTCATTAAAAAGACAGGCAAGGATGAAAAGACCAAAATGGGTGTCAGAAGAGACTCTGAAATGTCCGTGTTTTCCATGTCTTGCTGAATGCTGTGATTCATGTGTACTTTTGTTCAAAACAGTTGGTACCTTTTGTTAATAAAAAGGGCTTGGGGGGAAAAAGAAGGATACAAAAAGATGTACATAAAAGATTTTCATTGCAGCATTGTTTATGATAGCAGGAAACTGGTTGTAAAAGGGGGTGCACTCCTCTAATGGAATGTCATATAGGAATTTTAAAAGTCATGATGTGTATGTATAGTCATTCTCATTGAAAGATGCCCATAATACTTCACGAAGTGAAAAGAGTAGATTACGAAACAATTATATAGAATATAGTTCCATACACTTATGTTTATTTACTTAGAAAAAATTTGGAAGGTTAATACAAAATATTATGATGTTTCTTACCCTGGGAGGATGAGTATTTTATTTTGCATTTTCTTTCTTTTACAAACTTTTTGCTGTAAGGAGGAATTATTTTTATTTTCCAGAAGCAGTAATAAACACACGGTTTCCATTTTAGAAGGAAAGACAACTGTAGCTGTTGAGAAATGAGGGGCATAATGGATCATAAGTATTGTGGGGTCATCCTTACCAGTGTCACATTTCACTCCTCGCCAGCCAACGTCACATTCACAGGAGCCGTCACCGGAGGGCCCTTGGTTACATCTCCCATGGACACAAGAGCACGCTAAGTAGAAATATGCCCACAGCTCATTAGACTCTGAGCATGCTCAATACCTCATTTATCATTTGCTACAGCAGTCACTTCATTGCATTTCATTCTTCAATCCGATTCCTCAAAACCATTGTTTCATGAAGGGCTAGATTCACAGTAAGGGCAGATGCATAGGAATTAGAATCTAGCAGGTGTTGACAGGTGATCCAGGTCACGTGTCCACAAGACCATTCAAACCACAATTTTGGGGCTGTTTAAGCAGTGTAAATTAAGGAGCTCTGGTAGCATAGTGGTTATGAATTGGGCTGTGAACCTCAAGGTCAGCAGTTCGAAACTACCAGCTGTTCCACGAGAGAAAGATGAGGCTTTCTGCTCCTGTAAAGATTTACAGCCTCACGAACCCTATGCAGGGTGGCTATGAGTCAGAACCGATTCCACGGCACATAACAACAACAACAACAACAAGCAGTATAAGTTAGTGATTCAGCAGCAGGGGAAAGTCCTCAGCTAAAGTTATGCAAGGACAAAGTGTTTTATGGGGTCCCTACGGATGGAATCACATGTGCTCCCTAAGAGTGGACTTCAAGAAGAAGTCATTTTGATATGGGTTTATAGAGCCCTGAAATGTCAGTTCCGTTGTTACTCAGCAGTATTGTAAGTCTTTTTGAGAACTTCATGGAAGCTATGGATACCTTCTCCCCAAAGCATCCAGTCTTGAGTGTTTCCTGGAAACCCTGATGCTCATCCATGAGTCCCAGCTTAGGACCCCTGTGTGAATGCAAGCAGATAATTCTTCCAAATCACGGAGAAAACTGGCACAACCAAAGTCTCACTTATATATGCTAATCTGGGGTCCTAGTATGGCACTGTAGGATAAGCACTGGATCTCAAGGTTGGTTTGAACAGCAAGGTTGGTGGTTCAAACTCACCAGCTGCTCCTCAGAAGCCGTATGGTGGTGGTGGTAATGTGCC